TCTGTGTTTGACCATGAAGACACTTTTTTAGCAAATCTTGATTAGATAGATCTTCAAATATAGGAATTAAAACTTTGTGAATACCTGGTAGGCTCAACTTTTTTTGGTATTTAAATAAGTTAGTTTATCAGACTGCCATAAACATCAGCTTGTTTTTGACCTTCGACAAAATTGATGGCGAATATTTTCATCGTCAATGGCAGAGTTATGAAAAGCACAGACCATATCGATATTTCTGCATATTGTAAAGATTGTCAACATTTTGTCGTATGGCCATGCCATCATAGTTTTGGAATAAATTTATCGTTTTGTCTGTGAGTTTACCTTTGCCACTTGGACTAATTTGACCAAGTTTAATATAAATAAACTTTTTGCCTTTTTGACTTTGGCAAAAGTTAAAAAGACGAGTTCTCATTTGTTTTTAAATGTGACCAACACATTCTAGCTTCTCAATATTTATATCGTCATAAGGTTTTGAGGAAACAACATCAGAAAATGAAGAAGTATTACCTCATTATAAATTATTCCTCATTAATGATCAAGAAAATAATCTCACTGCCCCACGGGATTCCATTGATTCCAGATCATTTTTCATGATTAGCATCATATATGATTTAACTTCCAATGAAGATATCCATAAGTGTTTTAGTTTTCCAGTAACAACAACATTTGCATTTTTTTAAAAAAAGAACAATGGCATCTAAGCACTTTCCATTCTCTTTTGAAAATTATTTTTACAACACCATTTAGTAATTGATACGTTTTTGCCAGGTACCATCAACAGATACCTGGCAATTTATAGGTTCATTATAATCAACACAAAGAGCCATTCTGGTGTGGCATGTAACTCTAGTAGTACTTTGAATAGCGACAGTCTCATATGCTTTGTGTTTTTTTTTAGTCAAGTAGTTAAAGTTTTTTGGGATCATAGGAGGTGGCATATTCATGAATGCTGCAAAAGTACGCAAAGATTGATAACCTTTGCTGAGTTCTCTAAAAGCTACAATAGCATTAAAATTGACAGCTGCAACAGGTTTTCCAGGAGATCTTAAGATTTGTTAAACTTAAACAGAAACTTTGAAGAGATGTATCATATTTTGATATAAATTCACATTTATCACATGTAATGTAACTTGTATGAGAAGCCATTTTTATTTTGTTCTTTAGCTAAATTGTTCTTTAGTAACAGCTTTTCACCATTCCAACAACACTCTTTAGATTTACAACCATTGAACATTGTTTTTAAAACTTAAAAGTTTATTATAATATTATAGTTATCCTTGTCAAGCTCTTTTTTTTTTCACTTGCACTTCCTTTTTTGTTTTCAACAAAGTTTTGGTTAAAACTATGTATGCTTTGATTCCTAACATATTGGTTATCTGGAAATACTCTTCTTTTAATATGTTTAGATCTTGGCTTTTTTGTGAAAAAATTAAAACTTTTACTTCTATTAAAAATAAAACTTTAAATGTATGTACTGCTGTTTCACTTTATAATCACTTTACAAATTGCAAACATCATGATAGGCTTTTACAATATAGCCAAAAACTATCAAAAGCCCATGTAGGACATAACAGTTTTATTTTTTAATATATATTCATTGGTTCTTGAGGTACTAATTTTAAAATTATCTTTAAAAAATGGTTGCTATAGGCATTGTTAGGTAACTAAAATCTATCTATCCTATTAAAAAGATGAATTAGACCTAATTAGTAATAGATTTAATATACAAATTTAACCAATAAAAATGATCTAATTATGTTCTACAATGTCTGAAATTAAAAACTATCACTTAAAAAAAAAACTTAAAAAAATGTAAAAATTAGTTTTGAATTGGGGCGGACCACCTTAAAGTCCAAATATAAAAATCATAAGAACTTACCTAATTACCACTACTTAAATTACGCTACTTAAATTGTTTAATAATCTCAAGGGTTTGAGATCATTAAACCTCAAAACAATGTTTTTGCTTTAATTGTTAAAATTGATTGAATAGAAAGTATAAATTAAATTATAATCATAAAATAGAGGCAGACTAAATACAACAGACAGCTATTTCATTTAATAAAAAATTAGTATCTGAATCACTAGGAATCTGCTGAGAAAAAATTATAATTTTTTTACTTTTTTCTTAGAAAGATTATTTTTTTATATTATTTTCAATCACTCAAAAACTAAGAATAGTTTTTTAACAAAAATGATATTTCCATCTATAAGCTCTTTTTGGTTTCATCTAAATGTCCAGCTATGAAAATAAAAAGTTTTTTTTCTTATGAAAATAAGTTTTTTTTCTTATGAAAATAATAAGTTTGGCATTTTTTTCTTACAGATTTTTTAGTTAAAAATAAAGAATTTATTATCTTTAAGTAGAAAGTAAAACTTTACTTTTTTTTAGTCGTTGTTAAAAAACTATTGCTTGTTTGGGCAATTCAAAATGATAAAACTAAAATATATTTAAAAAAAATAGAGAATTGAAAAGGTTTGAGAGTTAAAATATAAAAACTTATTCTTAAAAGTTAATTTTTTTTTTAATCAGTATTTTTTTGTGGATTATATTCTTAAAAGTTAATTTTAACAATAAAACAGTAATAAAACAGCATAGCAAAGTTGTTTTATCAGCGTAGCAAAGTTGTTTTAATAGCGTAGTGAAGTTATTTTATCACCGTAGCAAAGCTGTTTTATCAGCGTAGCAAAGTTGTTTTATCAGCGTAGCAAAGTTGTTTTATATTAAAACAATCTTTTTATATTGACAAAATAACTTCTTAGTTTTGTTTTATTGTTGTTTTACAATAACAATGTAACACTCTTTAAAAATTAAATTTGTTTTAATTTTTAAAAAGTGTTACATTGTTCGATCATCAGCATTAAAGAATATTTAAATAGTTTTTATGACTGTTTAAAGTGGTTTAAATATTGTAGTATTTGCATTTTTATATTTTTACTTTTGTATGTATTTTGTATGAGTGTATGTATATATATATATATACATATATATATATATATATATATATATATATATATATATATATATATATATATATATATATATATATATATATATATATATATATATATATATATATATATATATATACACACATGGGCGCCCGCAGGGTTTTTGATGTTTTAGATAGGACAGTTTCAAACATAGTGCAAACTCCAAACTTAAGCATGTTCATACCTATGCCAAATGAAGAAGCCTTTCAATAATTTGGGATGGCAGAGGCTTAGGAACAAAAAAGGAACCTAAAATGCTTGCCTTCCCTGCCCAAACATGAAGGCACCGATGTAGTAAAATTTTCAACTTTACTATGTTAAAAGCGCGTTAAAAAAATTTTCTTAACTATAAAAAAATTAAAAAAGAAAACTTATCGTAAAAGAAGCAAAGAAATCTTAGTAAAAAAACAAAAAAAAATAAAATAAAAATAACATAACTAAAACAGCAGAAATAAAATTAAAAGTTAACTAAATTAAATAATAAACTATAACGATAAGATTATCTAAATTACGTTTGGAATAAATAACTTTAAACCGTTTATCTTTACTAATGCTTTTTAATATAATTATACGAATTATGCGAAACATTTTTTAAGTAACAACTAACACCTGACAATTGTTTAATAAATGCGCACATTTAAAAGTTTAAAAAAAGATTCTTAATTTTTCGCACTAAAGAAAAAAATAATTAAATCGTTTATTTAAAATTTTGATTTAATTTTTTTTTATTTAAAAACATTTATACTAAAAAATAAATACTTTTTAAAAAATATGTTATATATATATATATATATATATATATATATATATATATATATATATATATATATATATATATATATATATATATATATATATATGTATCAGCAACGTATCCAAGACAATTTTGATACCGGTATAACGGTATGGGCCCCCAAATTTCAGTCCAAACTCAATTTTACAATGGCATTTGTTACGCTATTAATATCGCTTAGAAAAACCAACATTTAAAAAACAACTTTTAAAATACATTATAAATGTACTTTTAGCCAACCAGAATGCTTAATTCGAATTCATGTTGATGAAATATAGAATATGTTGTGATTGGATTAAATATAAAACGCACATTTTGATTGGATTAAAATATGAAAGGCTTAGCATTTTTAAATCAAATTTTCAAAATACATTAATTTGAGTTTCTTCTCCATTTACGTTTTCATAACATACTTTTGAAAGCAATTAAACTATATGAGCTTTAAACTTTTTCATTTCAAATAACAGTAAAATTGTATTAAAAATACTTTAAATAATAAAACAAATAAAAGTTTTTAAAACATAATAACATTTTAATATTCACGCCATAAAACTTGATTTGAAAAGTAAGAGTAGAACTAGAAAAAAAAGTTATTAATTTTTGAATGAAGTAATTAAAATTTCAAATGAATTTACCTTGTTATGCAATAAATACGCTACGTAATAAATCTTATCAAGTCTATTTAAAAGAGTCATACAAATATTGTTTATTAAATGTTATACTTATTGCTTGTTTATGAAATCATACTCTTTTCTATCATAATCATATCATGAAATCATACTCTTTTCTATCATAATCATAATTATTTCTATTTAATAATATTTAATACTTATAATTTAATAATTTAATTTAATATTAAGTACTAATAAGTATTAATTATAGTTTATAATTAGTAAGCAAATAGAGCAAGTAAATGAAAAGTAGCGATTAGCGACGAATCGATGTTGGAGTTAAAGCCGCCATTCTGTAATAAATGTAATATTTAAATTTTTATTAGAAAAAAATTAAAAAACTAGGGCGAGTTGAATATTATTTACAAATAATTGTATTTAAATTTGAGTAAAAATATATATATATATATATATATATATATATATATATATATATATATATATATATATATATATATATATATAAATGCACACAAATACAATCATACACAAAGATATATACATTAAAATATACAAAAGAAATATTGCTAAAAGATTACTTTTGAAGGTATCTTAAGTCTTTTTTCAACAGGATCCCAATATTTTTCTATAAGATGCTCTGCTTCAAGAAAATTTTTGGAAGACTCAATTGTAGTAGATGCCCATTGGACTTTATAATAACGCTTGCCATCCTAAATAACAGATGTGCAAGCATACTTTTATATAATATACTAAAACTTTAAAAATGAAATAAAAATGATGATAATCCAAGTTAACTTAATAAACAAAAAGAGTTAACTTAACTCTTTTTGTTTATTAAGTTAACTTAAATCATTTTTAAAAATACAAATTACTTTTCTTCACCGTCATATTTAAATCACTTAAACAAAGGTAATTCTTTTAAATAATATATACAATATTATATAATTTTAGATTTAAGGGTAAAGGATTGACAGTGATTTCCTCCTTAAATTGGCATTATGTAACACTTAATAAGGATTGAAAATGTTTTGCTTCATAAAAGGTTTGAGAGTGTTGCTCCTTAAATTGGCATAATGTTTTTTTTTTATATTTTTATTTTTTATATTTTTCCATTTTTTAACAAAAAATTTGTTGCATTGAAATAACATTTTTCTCAATCCATTTAAACAAGTTACACAACTTTTTTTATTTTTTTATGTTAAAAAATAGAAAGTTATAAAAATAAAATCAAAGACTCCTATAACTTTTATGATTATTAAGCTCCACAAGTGAAAAAGTTATTTATGCATAACGTTTTTATACCATTTAGTATAGCATTTTCAGTCTAAAGAAATTAAAATTACTTGGGTTATGAAAATGAGATTAATGAAAAAAAAATTTAATAAAAACTATTATATTAGTAGGGTAATTCCATGTAAAACTGGGACAAAAAATCTAAATTTTTCAGTCACCCTCTCAGATTTCTTTCAAATTTTACCCAGTGGTACATATCAATGTAACATGAAAAATTGTAAAATTTGAGCTCCCAAAATCAAACGGTTTAAAAGTTATGACGTTTTGAAATTCAGCATAAAACGTTCCTTTTTTTGCCAAGTCCGCCATTATAGATTTTGTAGTTGTACTTTTTAATGTATAATTTAAGATCTAGTTAAAGAATGAGGCTAAAAATGGGTACCTGACCATTTTTGAGGGTGCTGAATTAAAAAATGTAAAGCAAATAGTGAAATTTAAATTTTATGATGGTTATTTTTTGATTTTAAAATGGTCAGTCCAATTTTTTGTTCTGTTACCATGGGTTGCGCTTTCATCAACTCCCGGAGTTGCCCAAGTTTCATGGATTTAATTTTTTTTTCAAATGAAGTAGGTGATCCTAGGCTATCTTTAGAAAAAAGATGGTTTCGGTTTCTTAAAGCATTATAAAGATATATCATTTTGAAATTTATACTAGAAAAATTCCTTATTTGGACTCTTTCTCTTTCATTCATTTGGATTCATTCTCTTTCATTGATTTTTTGGCTATAGTTTAGGTGTAAATAATTTAAGTTTTAGTTGAAGAAACTGACTGAAAATTGGTACCTGACCATTTTTGAAGATGCTGGATCCAAAGTAGAAAAAAAAAATAACCTAATTTAAAATGTTAGATAACTGTTTTTGTTTTTTTTTAAATGGTAAAAAAGCACATTACAATAAAAAGAGGTAAGGTTTTCACAAGTTTCCTGATCACAAGACTCTCATGGGTTCAGTTGTGATGTGTAAAAAGAGTTTATTGAGGTAGGTTTTTATATATAAATAATATTTTGTGAAGTGAATTGTCATTTAAAAAAATAGTTTTGCAATGCCTGCTGTGATGTATAAATATAGATTTGTGATGTCAGATATGTTGTATAAATATAGTTTTGAAACACCAGTAACCATAAACTTAAAATTATTTTAATTTTAGATTAAATAATTAGAGAATTTAGTAATTCAGTTTCTTAGTCATGGCAAACAGCCAACAGTGCTCCATTGGAATCAAGCTAGGAAGTAAATGTCATCTTGCAACATATACATCGTTGCTTAGAATCGAACCTTTTGAAGATATTCCTGAGTATGAAAGAGAAATATTAATGTGGAGGACTGGGCTCTCAATAATCAATGTAAAACCAACAACTTGTCTACATCATAAACATGTTTATTTGAAGCGTTATGCAACTTAACACGGTGCTGCAATCCATTTAATACTCATAACAAAGTTATAAAAGGTATTTATAATAATCACAACTTTTATTTTGTGAAAATTTTGTGAGTTACAAAAGAATCTGAAGAGAATGAGTTGAAGATAAAATTAACTGAAGATAATATAGAAAAAGAAATTATACTGGAATCAGCAAGATCATTGCTCAACAGTACTTTGTGTGAACTTGAAGTGTTTCCGCTAAAAGTTCATTTACCAAAAACCTCTAACAAGCCTTCACTTGGAAAGAGAAAGATAAAGCAAGTTGAAGAAGCAATTATTAAGAAACTTGCAACTGCTCTGGATGTCACCGAATCTGATCTTGTTGCACCTAACAACTATGAAGTTCTAAAGGAAATTGAAACCAAAGCTGGCGATCTAGACTTCCTTGTTGAATCCATGAAAGAAAAACTTGAAGTTTCTAACAGAAGACAGCAACTTCAAATTTTGACATTGACACCGAAATCTTGGTCTATCAGAAAAACAGCAAAATAGTTTTCAGTTTCCAAACACAAAATTCAAAATGCAAAGCTTTTACGTGACCAAAAAGCCATCATTGCATACCCCAATGTGGTTGAACGGCATCGAATCAGTAAAGATGTCATAGAACTTGTAAAGCTTTTTTACTGTGACGATGAGTATTCAAGGCAAATGCCAGGAAAAAAAGACTGTGTAAGTGTTGGGAAAAAAAAATACATGTCAAAAAAATTGATTATGTGTAATCTAAAGGAGCTCTATAAGATTAATTATATGGCATATAAGATTAAGTACCCAGACCATAAAAATCCTTGCTGATCCAAAAGGTACATATTCTGTTTGAGTGTGTACAATATACCAAAATGTTTAATTAATGTTGAGTGCTGTAGGCCTTGAAACATCTTACCATGAAATCATTGAAAAGATTGTCTGCAGCAGAAAATCAAAAGTTTGCATGATTCACTGATGCAATAGTTGTCGGGCATACAAGCTGCCCAAATTTATTTCCAGCAGAATCTCACACAAAATTATGATCCAAAAGAGCAATATGACAGTGACAAAAATAAACAGTCAGTGAATTTTAAACAGTGGACAACGACAGATAGAACTGAACTATTAACAATACAACTTCCATTAAATGAATTCATAGAGCTCCTATGTGAAAAACTTGATAAAATTACTTCTCATTCATTTATAGCAAAATCACAATCTAGCTATCTAAAGTATCTTAAAGAAACAATTAGTATTGATGAGGCTATTATACTGGCAGATTTTGCAGAGAATTACACTTTTGTAGTACAAGATAAGATACAGAGTTACCATTGGAGCAAGAGTCAATGATCTCTTCATCCAGTTGTCATCTACTACAAGAAAGTGAAATTGGAAATATCTTCTTTTTGTGTAATTTCAAATGATTTGAGTCATGATGTTGGATTTATCAATAAAGTTATGCATAAAATCATTAATCATATAAAAACTCATCTTTGCCCCGCAATTACAAAAATTCATTATTTTTCTGATGGCTGTGCAGGGCAGTATAAAAACTGCAAACATTTTTACAATTTATGTCACTAACTCAAGATTTTTCTGTTCAGTGCATCTGGAATTTCTTTGCAACAAGCCATGGCAAATCTCCATGTGATGGAATAGGTGGCACTGTTAAAAGGCTTGTTTCAACTGCTAGCTTGCAGAGTCCAACAACAGGTCAAATACTATCTTCCCAAGCAATGTTTGAATACTGCCAAAATTCAATCAGTGGGATTACGTTTGTGTACGTCACTGCTAAAGAAATGGAGCTAGTAAGAATCAAACTTGCTGATAGACTATTAATAGCAACCACTATTTCTAGGACAAGAAGTTTCCATCAATTTATATCTTCTTCTCATTCAATTATAAAAATGAAAAGGGTATCCGATGATGATGATTTTGCTCTAACATTTGACTTCCTCAATAAACAAAAATACGAAAATAATAAAATTGAGAATTTTATGATGTCACAATACCTATTTTGCAAATACGACAATTTTTACTGGCTTGGAATGGTTTCTGAAGTTGATAAAGAGAATGACGATTTTATGGTAAAGTTTATGCATCCAAATTATCCAAGTCAGTCGTACTACTGGCCAAAGCCGGATGATAATTGCTGGATGCCAAGAATGAATGTCATTTCTCTTGTTAAAACACCATCAACATCTTCTGGGCGTCAGTACCACATCACAAAAGAAGACGAAACTCATTTTGAACATCTTTTATCTTGTCAATGAAAGTTGATGAATATTTTACTTTCATTATTTAAATTATATAAACTTCAATTTTAGTCATATTTGGTATATTCCTTTTCCTTTTGATTTTTGAGCTTTTTTCAATAAAGCAGATTTTTTAGTGTTTTTTAAAAAGGTTTGCATTTTAGTTTCTTATTTTTTAACACAACAATGCCCTATTATTAGAGATAAAGTAATAATGTTACGTTAAATTATTATAATTAATAAATAAAGAAATTATATTTTCAATGTGTTGTATAGTGAATTACATTTCCATGCATACTTTTGAAAATATTGATTATAAATATGCAAGTTATGCAAAGCATTATAATTTTTGATTTTCTTTTAGAAACCTAAACTTTTTTAAGACCTCTTATTTCACAATAAGAGTAAGGCAACTCCAGAAATAAGCAAAGGTAAACCATGGTTAAGAAATAAAAAAAAAATAACTGTTGATATTTTAAAATTGAAAAATTATACTAAATTACTAGGAATAGGGTTCATTTATCTTTATCTTTGTATTCAATACCTTTAAAATTGGTCAGGTACCAGTTTTCAGTCATATTTCTCCACTAGAACTTTAATTATTCACACAAAAAATATCGCTATAAAGTCTATAATGGAGAATAGAGGCTAAAAAATGATTTTTTTTGTCTAAATTTCAAAATGACATATCTTAATAATTCTTGAAGAAACCAAAACCATCTTCTTTATAACAATAGCCTAGTATAACCTACTTTGTTTGAAAAAAAAATTGAATCCACAAAACTTGGGCAACTCCGGGAGTTGATGAAAGCACAACCCATGGTAACAGAAGGAAAAGTTGGACTGACCATTTTAAAATCAAAAAATAACTATCATAAAATTTAAATTTCACTATTTGCTTTACATTTTTGAATTTAGCACCCTCAAAAATAGTCAGGCACTCATTTTTAGCCACATTCTTCCACTAGATTTTAAATTATTCATTAAAAAGTACAACTACAAAATCTATAATGGCGGACTTGGCAAAAAAATGGAACGTTTTAGGCTGAATTTCAAAACGTCATAACTTTTGAACCATATGGATTTGGGAGCTCAAATTTTGCATTTTTTCATGTTTCATTATAATGTACCACCTGGGAAAAATTTAAAGAAAATCCGAGAGGTGACTGAAATGACTGTCCCAGTTTTACATGGAATGACCCAGTAGTGGTATATTACCTCACCGATCATTGTGTCAACAATTTTTTCTGGTACCATATCACCATACAACTCAAACCACAACCTTCTTCTTTCCTGTTCATCTCCCATTTAATAAATATATATTTGCAATACAAATACAATACTGTGAGATTCTAAAAATAATAAAATTTAAATATATAAATACAAAAAAGTATACAATAAGTATTCAAATTTAGCAGTTTATTTGTTTGAAAATATTTCACTAAATGAAAATAAAGCAGTTAAATGATAAATTTATTTCAAAATAAAAAAGCTTATTTACATTAAAAACTATATTATAATTATGTTTTGAATGTATTTTGATTTATATAATTTAATAATACATTTAGTATAAAAATTTTGTTATATCAAATGTATTATTAAATTTTGTATAGTTTTGAATACCTTTTTTTTTTTTTTTTTTGTATAAAACAAATTACAGGTAAAAAATAAAGTATATAAAACTAATACTTTATACAATTATCTGAAGTCTGATTTAGATTTTTTTTGAAATACTTTTTCTATCAAGCTTTTAAATATAGTTCTTTATTCTCTGATATTCTAAAATGTGCAAGAAAGACTTAAATAAAACTTGGCAGGATGTGAGAAAATAAGGTACTCACTTTTTTTCTAAACAGGTTTGAGATCAAATACAGAGTTTCTCAAACTAAGAAACCTTATTTTTAAAAAATATCTTATTAAACATTAAATTTTATAAAAATTTATTAATGTCAATAAAATTAGATCAAATATGATACAAAGAAAAATCATTTTTAATGACAATAAATTTCTATAAAATTTAAAGTTCAATAAGGTATTTTTTAAAAATAAGGTTTTTTAGTTTTAGAAACTCTGTATTTGATCTCAAACTGTTTAGAAAAAAAGAGAGTACCTTTGTTTCTCACTTCCTACCAAGTTTTATTTAGGTTTTTCTTGCACATTCTGGAATATCATAGAATAAAGAACTATATTTAAATACTAGATGGAAGTAGTATTCAAAAAAAAAAACTAAATTAGACTTCTGATAATTGTATAAAGTATTAGTTTTATATACTTAATTTTTTTACCTGTAGTTTGGGTGATAAAAAGAGTAAATAAATGTTTAAATACCGACCTGTCGAGTCCGTACCCGGAAGGTTAACGTTAATTATCGTAATATATCATAGTGTCTTAATTTTTCTGTGTTTGAGAATTTCGCATTTAAGGCCGGCGTCTCTGGCATAAAAAAGACATTCGTTGTACCCATTTAGTAACTAAATTTTAAATTAAGTACATTGAAGAGCAAAAAAAACTAATTCAATTCCCGAAAGATTCTAGATTTTTACAGTCCCAAAGACCGGGTAAATTGAGGTCAAAGTTTTGGTGTATATAGAAACCATCTCATAGTTTTAACTTGGACGGTTTCTATTAACAAAAAAAACTGATTTTTTTTTTTTAATTAATTACGCCCAAATAATTATTTTTTTTTTATTTCAAATTTAGTAAGTAAATTTTTAAATAAATTACCTTAATTAAAAAAAAAATTGGATGCTTTATGTTACAAGTAACCTAGGTTTCAGACCTTTTTATTTTTGATTTGTTTCCAAGGACCTTATTTGTTGACTTAAGTTATCTTATTTGTTGAGTTATGCTTCAATGAAGAACAGTAAATAAAGCAGTTATTTTTAATTACAAATAATTTTAAAGGGTACAACTGTTGTTAACCATATTTTTAATTTATATTTCTAGTGATAATATTGAGTAATAAGAGGTAGTAAGAGTCTGATCATTAATTCTGATTACAATAATAATAATAATACGGACGAGATTGTATTAATAATCTCGCATCGAAATCGGTATCCATAGTCAAAAAATCTTGGTTATCAAGGAAATTTAAATTTTTTTGTCGCTAATCTCTTTAAATTACTTTTTTAAGTCGGCAAAAATCAGATATATCATCCAACCATGCGACACCTCATCCGTAGGGCCCTATATACTGCAACTCAAACTTCTATTGAGGTAAATGTACCCATAATTCTAAAATGAATGTTAGGATCTTATTCTAAAATGAATGTTGACATCTACTTGATTTGACAAGGAATCTAATGTTTATAAATTAATGCATTTTAAAACGCATTTATATTCTAACCTAATATTAAAATTTTCATATAAAAAAAAACAAACTATTAAACAATACTGAAACTGCTACACTAAATACATACTAATTTTTTTTTTCTTGTAAATAATACATATATTTCAAAATATATGTATTAAATATTTTCTTGCAAATAATACAAATGTTTCAAAACTTGCGTTGATCACATTTTCTTTGGGGAGGATATTGAAGCATTTAAGGATGTCCTATGTTTCTTAATTACCTTAACTTGGTTTTAAAATTGAGAAAGCTATTTACCTTTTTGCTCAAAAGCAATAAAATTTTCTCAACTAGATTTGTAATCATTAATAAATTTTGGGTTTTATAGTATTATCTCTCAGCGTTTAAAAATAATAATCATATAAAGTTTAATCCCCCCCCCTCAATTTGAGGGTGTTACAAATTGTATATGATTATAATTTTTAAACGCTAAGAGATAATACAATGAAACTTAAAATTTATCGATGAATATAAGTCTAGTTGAGAAAATTACAAAAATATTTTATAAACTTGTTGCCCTTTACGTTTGGGGTCGGGGGTGGGGGTTATGAAGTTAAAGGGCTTTTTCGTTCTCAGCGTCCAATCATCGCAATTTTTTCCAAATCATCATTATTTGACAAATGTTTGAAGTTTGTTCCATGTTTGGATGTTTAGAACGTAAAGATTTAATTTAGATGTAAAGAACAAAAAGAAAAGTAATGTGGCGAAGAGATGCTAATCTGAAGCACAAAAAAAAAATGGATTTAAACCGGATTTATTGACAAATAAATGAATAGGAGTGCAAATATACCCCAAGCCAAGCATGTAAGGCGTGTACACGAAATAAATGTGAAATAATAAGTACGTCATTTGTTTTCAGTGGTTATATTAAAATCTTTTTAATTGTTTTGTATTTTGTTTACAACGTGTTGTGGTTTTAAAAAAATGCATTAGTTTTTTCATTTAACTTAAAATTAGTTTTAAAAGTGACAAAAGAAGAAGACATAAAAGAGAAAAAATTATACACAATTATTTGGAAAATCCCAATAGTAGCTACAATTCTATAGCAAAAGCGTTGCAAATACATTCATACACCATTAGTCATGTAATCCAACGTTTTTCTCAAACAAAATCGATCAAACATAAATCTGGCGGTAGAAGAAAGTAGGGTTTTAAAGATAAAAAACTAGTTAGAAAACTGGTTAACAGTTTTAAGACTAACTCAAGCCTTTCACAAGAAGGCGCGCGACCATTTGGACTTTCTCATAGTTTTGTTGTAAAAGTTTGAAATAAACATGGTTTTCATTCTTTCAAAGAACAAAAAGTGCCCAACCGACCTGAAACTCAACAAAAAAGTGCAAAAACCCGCTGCAGAAAGTTGTATGACAATTTTATTTCTGAAAATATTTGTATTGTTGAAGACGATAAAACTTATATCAAGTACGACCATCAGCAAATACCTGGTGCATGGTCTGTTATATTGCCAAATGTAGAGGAAAAGCAGATAAGAAATTTAAATACATATGACAAATTTGCTAAAAGAGTCTTGATTTGGCGAGCTATTTGCAGTTGCGGAAAAAAATCAGCACCTTATATTTCTCAGTCCACACTTTCGGGTCAAATATATGTTAAAGAGTGTTTACAAAAACTCCTTTTTTTTGAACAGCGGAATTTAAGTTAGTCTAACAAAGAGCTCGCAAGTCTGGTAAACTTTAAAAGAGGTAAGATTCTACTGATGAAAAGTTCCTTCGAAAACCATGAATATTTATGAAAGATATATTGAAACAACACATATCTGTTGTACACGCATTTACACACTAGAAAACGTTTTAAACTCAAAAAATACATAAGCATAAAAGAATAAAAAGTCACAGTATATTATGACTTTTTTATGCTACTTCTATGCTTGTGAATGCTGTTTTTTGTTTTATATATAAAACACATTTTGGTACTTCGTATTGGCTCCTCGAACTTTTAGAACAGACTATTCTTCGTGGCATTGAGGAAAAAAGAAACTCGCAATATTCAGGAGTTATTTTATTACTCCACGATTTTGTTTTTATAAATCTTCTTGCAAAGCTGAGTTCTGTAAAGAGTTTTTGATCCAATTTAAATTGCGTGAGTAGCGTGGCCGCGAGGTAAGAGCAAATATTTTCTGCACTCGGCAGATAGCGACTGCAGAAAATATTTAGAGCTCCCATTTCTATAAAAATATATTTAAAAACAAATGCAAGAAAATATAAAATTACTTTTTATTATTAACAGAGAAGTTAATTGCGACATTTTCAAAGTTTATATTTTGTGACATAGTGTAATTTTCCTGTGGATGGTAAATAAAAAAACGAGTCTCTCGTTTATATTTTATAGTTTTTCAACTTGAAACTTAGTTTAGAGAGCAAGACCTTATATTGGTTTTTGTAATTTTTTTTGTTTTTTCAAAATTTTTGTCTGCAACATTTTGATCAGGAATGTCTTTTATCAGAATCCAGTAGCTTAGCGCTTTATTCAAATTCCTCTACATTTCTAGGTCAAAAGACATTACTGTGCAGTTTAAGTCCTCAATAACAGATCAAAATACAGTTAGTTAAATTAAGTTTTAATTAAGCGGTGTAAATAAGATTTTTTTTTTTGCTTTTTTTGCGCTTGTCACAATTACGTCTCAAACAACGCACTCTTCAATAATTAAAAAAAAAAGATCAAGTGAGGGCAAGGTTTAGGGTAATAAGAGTCATGATTAGGTCAGATTTAAGTTCATGACTGGTTTTATGACAAGGGTTAGGTTGCTACAACTCGATAGTATCCCTAAACCCTAAACCTGATCCTAAACCTCTAATAAGTGCTTTTTTAATGTGCGGAAGAGTGCCTCACATCAGACATACTTATTAATTTTGATTTGGTTTGGTTAAAATTTGGTTTGGTTAATTTGATTTTGGGTTTTTTTCCAGTGACCAAATTCACACTGGGCGTTTTTTGTAAAATCAAAACCCGATTATAATTTTTTTTTGTTGATTTTTTGTTTACATTTTTGTCGTTGTTTGCAAAAACAAATAAACAAACATCTGAAGATCATAATAATCTTAGCATCAAAACCTTTTACAAGTTTTTTACATCAATACATACCCGACAAGAAAGGTACATGTGGTCCACATGTGGTCATAGTGCTTTCGTGTGGATTAAAAGTGAAGAAATATATTACAGTTGATAAATAACGTATTTGATGAAGATAAGTGTGGCCCACTTGTGGAACACATAATGCGGTTCACATAACTATTCCACTAAATGTGGCATAATCCTTAAATAAGTAGGTGCTAAATTTGATGTGGCTATCATATGGACCATACATATAAAACTCACGATCTTGCCTCATTTTAAATTTTAAATTTTAACCAATTGTAATAATTCTATCGCAATGCATTGTAAACTCTAGAATATTCCATGATATCATGTGGCGCAAATCATTTCCTGAAAACATATTTTTTTAGGTTTAGACATCCTTATTAAGTTTATTTGTTGATGAATGCTTAGTATTAAGTTAAGCAATCATTTTTTAACTGATGTTTAAGAACATGTTCTCTTTAACTTTAAACTAAATAAACTTTAAATAAATCCAATTTTGCTAAAACTATTTGACTTATTGTTTAGCTGTCAACCGGCTAAAATTGTAGGATCAAAAAAATTATTGATTCAATATTTAGTAATTCAATTAATTTTTAAATATTTTAAATGCCAACCCATGAAAAAGTATTGGTAAAAAGCTTGTTATTTATATTGGCTGTAATTAGGTTTATTCCGCATACGCCTGGCTAAAATTTGGTCATAGTGGCTGTATTTTGGTCAAATTATATATATTTTGTTATTGTTGTTTTTTCAAACAGTTTTCATTTATAATAATAGCTGTAATTATATCCTAAATGCTGAAGGATTTATCTTTCTAAAAATGTATAATTTGCATATAGACCTTTTTGTTAATATGTCTGTAGAAACAATTTTGTAAAGATGTGGCTGGAATTTGGTCACTTAACCCTATGTATTTAGCGATGTATAATTAACGACTAGTTTTTTTAGGGTAAAAAAAACTGCTTTTTGGTTTTGAGAAAACTGAACAGAAAACCGGTTAACCGTTTTTTTCCACCGGTTGCCAAGCCC